ATTAGCAGTTCTGTTCATTCCATTCTTACTGTCTTGCTTGGGTCAGATAATTAGCCAGAGTTTGTTTTAGAATGCAGTGTTGTTGGACCCACTTTGCCATCCCATTTCTCATAAAAGCACTGGAGATCTCGTCTTGAACTTCTGCATGTGAGTCCCCCCCTTTTAAAAAAAAAAAAAAGTGAGTTATTTTATTTATTTTTCATTTGGCTCTGAGTGTCTGTTATTTTATTTTTTATTTTTTTAACCTTTTCAATCTCTTTCAGACTTATTATTTTTTGTAGTGAGGGAACTTCCACAGTCTTGTACAGTTTAGTGACTGTGTGCCCATTCATCGAATGATTTTCTTTCTGATATCTGAAGCCTATTATCATCATTAAATTCCATCACTAGTGCTCCTGTTTCACAGATAACATTGTATGAAGAAAGCAAATAACAACAACTGGTCCTGTGCAGTTTGATTAGTCTTTCTTTGTCCACTGCCAAGGAAATGGGGAAAAGCAGTGCTTCATTTCCCACAAAGCAGATTTGGATCCAATGCCAGAAGGCTACAAAGCACTTCAGAATGAGGCAGGTTTCTGATTGAAGTGCTGAATCTGGATCCAAATGGAATCTTGTGGTCTGTGCACACAGTTAATAGCTGTACCAAACTGAGTAACTTTTCTTCTTATAAAAACATACACAGGAGGCATGAGATACTATAGCCTTCTAGTGACAATGTTTTTGCTTCTGTCTGTTTCAAGTAGCAACAGATATACCTAATCAGAGAGCCAGTGTGGTACAGTGGTTAAGAACGGTAGACTCGTAATCTGGTGAACCGGGTTCGCGTCCCTGCTCCTCCACATGCAGCTGCTGGGTGACCTTGGGCTACTCACACTTCTTTGAAGTCTCTCAGCCCCACTCACCTCACAGAGTGTTGTGGGGGAGGAAGGGAAAGGAGAATGTTAGCCGCTTTGAGACTCCTTCGGGTAGTGATAAAGCGGGATATCAAATCCAAACTCTTCTTCTTCTAACTAAGGTTATGTGGTCACACTAACAATTTAAAATAAAATGCTCTGTTTTGATCAACCGGACTTTTTATCCAGAATTTTCATTTCCCAAACTGTTGAAGTCTAGCATTGCTAGGAAATGAATATTATTTTTCCAAATCAATTGACAGACAATAGCTCAAATACATACTTCCTTCTTCAACGAATTATGAATAGATTATTTGATGAAGAAATGGAAAGGGAGAGACTCCTAGTTATAGCTTGGGAGAGACTTTCTATTTCATAGATTGCTTTTCTTAATGAAGATAAGATTTGCAACATCACATGAAGAAAAAAAATCAGGCATGCCATTTATGTTCTTAACTATTTTCATTAATATTAATTTAGAGAGCTTTCTTCCAACAGATGAAACCTTCAATGGTCTGTCAAAACAGTACAAAAATTTACATTAATTGCCACAATCTTAGACCATTAAACAGATTTCCTGTTAAGTAATGATAGAAAGGAATATTCAAAGCAGGCTTTTCTATAAAGCATAAATCGCGACAGCAAAATTTCCAGCATTCCATTTAAATACAGTGGTACCTCGGTTTATGAACTTAATCCGTTCTGGAAGTCCATTCTTAAACCTAAACCATTCTTTTTTTTTTTGCGATTCATCTTTATTGGTTTTTTACAACAGAAATGCTTACTTAACATAAGATCGCAATGTGAAGTTTCAATTTCTTGTTGATATACAAATATTTCCAAATCATAATAAAGGGAAAAAAACAAAAATATATTCTTTGCCATTCAACTTATTGATGTTCTAATTACCTCTGACTTCCCTCCCGTTCTTACTTGGTTCTTTTAAAGTTCTTGGTTGGGATGCCTATCATTGTGTATCTAGATCAGGGTTTCCCAAACTTGCGTCTCCAGCCGTCCGTGGACTACAATTCCCATCATCCCTGACCACTGGTTCTGCTAGCTATGGATGATGGGAGTTGTAGTCCAAAAACAGCTGAAGACCCAAGCTTGGGAAACCCCGATCTAGATTGCTGGTAACCAACTCATCCCCTGACTTTTGGATGTTTCTCATTACAAGAGTTAATCTAAACCAGTCAAAATTTTAGCATTTCCAGCATGCATTGGATCCTTTCTTTTTTTTTAAAAAAAATAATATTTATTACTTTTATAGATTACAAAAAGAGAAAAAGAACAAGAAAGAAAAAACAAAAAAAAAACCAAAAGAGAAAAGAAAAAAGAAAAAAACAATACAATACAATATATAAACAATACAAAACACACCCTAAACTCAAAACTAAACACATTAAACTAAACTAAACAAACCCCACTCCCTAGCCTTAACCCTAAATGAAACAAAACAAAAACAATTTAAAAACATACATCATCTCTTTTCCATACTCTATCTTTCATTCCCTTGTTTCCTCGACCTCCTCTTACCTCCCTTTTTGTATTCCACTTCTATTAATTGTTTCAGCAAATCCTTTCCATCTTTCTCCATTTTCTGTAATATTGTAAATAACGTATTTTTTAACCTTATTTTCCATTAAAACTAAAATACTTATATATGCTTAACTCCTTATAACATTTCTACTAAGCCCATAAAAAATAAAAAATAAAAAAAATCATTCCACCATTTTTCTATCACTCATTAGTTTTACCATACGTCTATATATAAACTTTAAATTTTCCAATCTTCTTCCACCATCTCCTCTCCCAGGTTTCGGATTCTGCCAGTCCTTTCCGTCAGCTCCATAAAGGCCATCAACCTGGTGATCTTATGTCCGAGGCTCTTAACTCTTTTCCAAGTCCCTTCTGCAGGTCTTCTTCATTTTCTTTAATGCTAAGAGCAAATCTCGGGGAAACTCCAACCTGTCAATCCTTTTCTTCCTTCTGAACAAATCAGCTAAATTTCCATAGTTAAAGCTACAGTCCATAAAGTATTTCAGGGCATATTTCAGGATTCCTCCAAGTCCAAAGGCCCCCAAAACTTCAATCTCCTCCAGGCCCGAGTCCATGTCCCAAAAGTCAGTTAATCCCTGCATAGAGGGCTCTTTCCAACTTTCCTTCTTTAATCCAAACCGGGATCCATTCCTCAGAGTCTGACTTTTCCTAGATTCAATCATAAAAGGCCTCAGTCTAGACTGAGGTAAAGTTCACTAACCGGGACACTACTTCCGGTTTTGTGGAGTTCGTAAACCGAATCATTTTTAATCAGGACTGTTCTTAAACTGAGGTACCACAGTACTATAAAAGTACATAACGTGAAATAGAAATATAATGCTCTTACTGGTCCATATTCTATGGCAACATAGCAGTAGTGTTTCAATCATAAATGTGCAATTATATGGTCACGTTCCAGGAACTGACTTTGCAACTCAAACCACTGGGATGAGTGAGTTTGGAATAGGCAGCTTTGTGACTCAGCTGGCCATGAGTATGCTTACCTGGCGCTAGCTGAAGACACCCTTACTGCATTTAGTCAGCCATTCCTTGGAATGCCCTCTGATTGCATATCAGACAGGACTCTTCTCTGCCAAAGAAGAAGCCTTCTAAACCCTTGAGCAAGGATTCTGAAGTCTTTAACCCCAATGGTACCTTTCTTGGATTTGAACTGATTTTGTGTACTTGCTGTTGCTGTTTCAAACAATTTGAAACAACAACCACACACACACACACACACACCCCGTTTTTATGTAACTGTTTTATGTATGTTTATTGTAAATTTGTTTAGGGTGCCTCATGGGAAGGAATTCATAAATGAAATAAACAATAATAGATTGTACCTGGATATGCATATTAATAAAAATGCAAGTCTCTACTTGGGGATGGGGGAGTAACTCAATTCAGTTCACATTTAAAGGCAAACTTGGTTAAGTCACATTTTCTGAAACAAGATGCAAACCAAAACACCATTCTTCAAAATTCACACTTCTCTGAATTTTGTAATGCAGTTGTTTTCCTGCCAAGTAATGTACAAAAGTGCATATAAGCATTCATAAAAATACATATATGGATGAAAACAACATACAAAATGCATTACATTAGGGAATACTGATTTGCAAACATGTGTATATTTGGGGGAAAATGTACTAAAGTGGTTATAACTTATTCAAAAAAATTGAATTAATGTGGAATTTTGGAGAACTGAACTTAAGATTTGGGGGGAAATTAGAAACAGAGAAAAAATGAAACTGACATAGTCACCCATCCCTCTCTGCTGTCAAAGGAAGGCCTTTAACCTTGCCCATCCATATTTAAACCTAGGTTTATCCTACTCTGTTTGAAAATCACAGCTGACAACACTAAAATTTTAAGCTGGGCACT